CAGAAAAGAATGAATTTTGAAATCTAACAATTGACGTTTGAAAAGAATCTGCAGTTCAAATACAAAGGTGTGAGGATGCATCTGCAAAAGAGCAAGAGAGAGACAGGAGCTTTTTTTTTTCTTCAGCTTTCAAGGAGATGCATGTCAAAAACATAAAGTAAAAATTTGTCCCAGATGTTAAAAATTCATGAAAATATATCTCTACATCCAATTTCAACTGTTCCACCAGAGGGACAACTGATTCCTGTTTTTCATATGATGAACACAAATGAACTTCAGTTTGCATCTGTGAATCTAGCCCTAGGTAGTTTCATAGTCGTGGCCAAAGTCTTCTATTTCACTGGGCAGGATAACATGATGAACCAGAACACACCTGATAGTCTGGCCGGAAGAGTTCACAACAAGCAACAAACTAACCAACCAACGTACAGTTCAACCAACAACCTCCATCATTGACTGTCCTGGACATGGTCAGATACACCTGAAGAGACTGTGGCTTGGATTCAAGTTAATGACATACTGTGGTACTGTCTTGGCTTTGTCATAAATGGTCTCGGAACCTGTGCCTCATTGACCTTTGTGTTTTTCCACGCGAAGGCTCAAACTATCAAATACAATGCTGCAGCACCAGCTAGAAAAAAATCTGCACACTTCATCTGATTTTTCTGTTAAAATGACAGCTTCCCTGCTACAAGGTTGATGTCATGATTTTGCTCACAATCTGAAGACCTGATATTAACTTCAGTATCATATTTTAGCTGAAGATAGAAGCCGTCAAAGACAGACGACAGAGCAATAATAAGTGGAACAGGAGTGAATACAGAGGTGGCCTGTGTTAGCTACTTTAGCTAACTAGCTGCTGGGCTAATTCAACAATTATGTGAACACTACTGCTGCTAGCTTCTACTACTGTACATACACAAGACTTGTCAGGACACACATACACACACATTTGTCTTCTTATGGTTGTGAGGGCACTAAATGACATAACACATTCCTCTGTACCTTGCCCCAACCTTACCCATCACAACTAAATGCCTAATTCCAACCATTACCCTAACCTAAACATTATTCTAAATCGGAACCTTTAAACCCTAAAAACGCTCTGTCCTCACAAGTCAAAATGCCCTCACATTGCTGCTTTTAGTCCTCACAACCATAGAAAGACATGCACATATACACACACTCCTCCATATGAAGTGCTTTAGTTTCTTTTTCCATTTTATTTTTAGTGAGAAGCTAAAATGTTTACTTGTTTTGAGAAAGAGCATTTAACTGGCACCTTGGCTTCTCTCGCTTCATCTTAAATGTTTGCTGCGGCATGCTGGCTGTGCCTTTACTTTCCAGTTGAAGCTGAATATGATTTGTTTTTTTAGGAACAGTATTTGCTCAACAACCAAAGCAGTGAACAAAATCCAATTCTGGTGTCTGATAAAAAGTGAGCATGAGTTCAAAATGAAGTGACTGTAATGTAGCCAATCGTTTGATTAGAAAGCCAACGTGCAGATATTATCCAAAAAATAAACATGAATTAGGAATTCAACATGGCTACCATAGAGCATTAGGCCACCTGTACTACTCTGTATCAGTGCCATTCTCAGGTCAATGATGGATCTTTGCCCCCACGTTTCACCAGTATATGTGCACCAGCCTGGATGAAGTCTGACATTGACTGGATGTCATCCTAAAATAAGTCTCAAAAAAGATTTCGTAGGTGAAGGGTGAAAGTGTGAGACCTTTTCTTCACCTTGTGTTTGATTGCCCACTCAAAGCTGTGAACTGGCTGAGTCTCTTGCCTCTAACCCATAACTAACTTCGTAGCCACTCAGCTCTCCCTTAAGGAGTCACCATGTTGACGAATAACATTGCACACTGACTGAAACACTGCTTGGAATGATTGATTTTGCTACTGCAAACTTCAGGGCCTTGAGATCAGCACTTCAGGGCCTTGTACTACAAAGCAGGCTCAACAGGATATCTTTGTTATCTGGCTCCACTAAGCTCAAAAATGTCTTTCTCACTAAGTAGTCACATGACGTTGGTTATCAACCCGGTAAGCACCTTCACATATAAGGGGCAGTGTTCGCAGGACATCACCAATGACAAATCTCTTGGCAAGAGAGCGGCACATTTAGCAAGTTCAAGCATTTAGCATAGTTTCACCAACTGTGTGAATGTGTAATTTAATGTGCTGATAACATCAATGTTCAGTCATTACAGCACAAGTAGATCTGGATATCATTTTCATGCTTGTATTTTTTAGAG